CAATACCCACACCGGATGCATCCNGAAATTCCTTTTCATCTATCCCTTTAACAGCATTACTAAGCAAATACTCGATAGCTGCAACAAGTTGTGGTTCCGTTCGAATATTTCCATTCATAACATGACGCACCACCAGTGGAGTATGCTGCTGGCACTGAGATTTCAGACGTGTCCCCACGTGGTATAGCAATGTGCCCTAAATAATTATACGATATTAGACTGCGTATACAAGCAAAGAAATACAGGGAAATCTGTATGAAACTAAATCTCACCGGACAAATTATTTGACAAATAAAAAGAATTCATACACTTATTTTTAATGCTACACATATAAACCTGTCTTTTATAATTTGTGGAAATAAGATACGCAATAAATATTCATCAGCTCATAATAATACATTGTAATGAGTCGAAAATCTTTTCATCACTTATTTCATTAAGTTGATTCGGCATGCAAATTAAAGTACCGAAGTTTCACAAAACCTAGCATTTATCAAAGAATTAATAAATTCCTTCCTCCTTTTTTCTGCTAAATTCTACATCAAAATTTAGGATATAATTAATGCAGAAGAAATAAAGTGAGCTATATTCATAGTATTTTTCAAATTCATTCTTCAATTACTCTTCATCGAATGATAACACAACGTATGATATGAGATGCCTGTAAAAGTTGAGTATAAAATATGAAATTTTACCTGTTGCTTTGTAGCTACATCATCTTGTCCAGCAATCTTCAATTCATCTTTAGCAAGAGCAACAATTTTTGATAACTTTTCCGTAAGTGGTCCATTTTTTTGTGTTTCAATCACTTTATCATCCGATAAATTCAACCATTTCAATTCTTCCACCATTTTCCACTCTTATTCCTTTTAATAAAATTAGTGAGAATTTATAATTTGCACTAATTAAAGTAGTATTTCTTACAATTACAGCACATCAATTAAGAAATAAACTAATAAATTACCCAAAAGAATTTGAACTGTGACTACACAACGTTCAGATTTAACGCAGATACACAATGAAATGATTTTCTTTTAATACGATATAAAAAGTCTATTTACTTTATCTAACTTATATGTTCATTAAACGTTTACTAACACTTTATTATCCATTATTTTCAGCTAAATGCAAACTTTTCACATTTCTGGTTTAAACCTTAATCTTCCAATCTATATTAGGATCTTAGAAACGGTTGGCATCCATTGATTTCCAGAAATTTTCAGTTCGAAAAAAGCATTTACTTTAGGTAAGGTAATCAGGGTCAATTAATTTCGGCTAATTAGTATGCGAAGATTTTAAGATCCTTAGGTGGTTTGTCTATGTTTATCTTAGGAAGATGAAATCATTTCGGTGAATTGTTCCTTTTAAGTGTAACCAAGATATATGGAAACAGATGTGGGAAATATTGCGCTAGAAAATAAGGTTTTAGAGACTGAGAAAGTTATGAGATAAGTAAAAGTAGATGAAGGGGTAGTATTAAAAGTGATTTAAAATTATCGAAATTGCTGAAAATTTTTGAATACGGAAAGCATTTTAAAGTGTACAGTGCTTGAATAATACATTAACTAGATGCTGTTGTTTCATTTGGTTAGTAAATGGATATATGTTTTACTAAAATTTGGATAGGTTTGCAATTCATGATTTCATGATCTCTGATTCTGAATCTCATATTTGTCCTATTTTTATAACACTGGATTTAATGACTCATGATGATGATCCCGATTCCGGATTTAGATTTTTGAAATCCTTAATATAAGATTCCATATTGCTGTCTTTAATAAATTTATAGAAATATTTTAATATCATGTTGATAATTTTGACTTGAATTTTTATGCTATATTTTCAGTAGCAATGGGGCGATTGCATACACTGGAACTGGAAAATTTTAAATCTTACAAAGGCAATCAAATAGTTGGACCATTCAAGCAATTTACTGCAATTATTGGTCCAAATGGATCAGGTAACTTAATAGATCGAATATATAATTCGTACCACTTCCATATCATAATTACGTAGAAAACATGACCTTATTTCGATTGCGGGAAGAGTTTGGTACCTGATTTTTTATCTGTCATGCAATTATGTTGGCAGTTATTGTCTTCGTGATATACTGGCTACCAGAAGGTAAGCTTACAATGCCATCTGAAGAATTTTTCAGCCTGATTAATGAAGGCAAAAAGATTAAAAACATATGTTATTGATTATCTTCGTGATCCTTCATTAGGCATTGACATCGTGTAGCAACGTTTTGGTAGCTATTTCTTTTTGTCTTTTTTTAATCTATTACCACTTATTTCATATAATTCAATGCAGCAAATGAATCATTACTGATAATATTTGAAGCAAATCTACTTTAGATTCAAATCCACTTTAGCAAATCCACTTTAGATTCAAATCCACTTTAGATGTGATGGATCTGATGTGTTTTATGTCACTCTGTTGATTTATTTTTGCTCATTATTTGTTTTGCATGCAATTTATCCAAGCAGTTAAAGCGTTATGAAGTGTATTTTAGGTAAATCGAACTTAATGGATGCAATGTGTTTTGTACTTGGCGAAAAAGCAAGTAATCTACGAGTGAAGAAGTTACATGTTAGCAGAATATTGTCTTATATAACAATTAAAACTACTCGGTTAACAGTTAGTGAAATCGTAATTTGAATATATGGTTGTAGAGTGGATCGGTTTACATGGTAGATTGATGACTTGTATCATCAAATGGTATCATGCATTCCATCCAGTTATTAAGATATTGGTGCTGTTTGACTTTCTCTCCTATGATAAGTTTTAGTGAATATATGTATGAAAATAATATGATTTGATAATTGCTTTAGAAATTTACTAAACTATTATTTATTGGTTTTACGAATTTTATAGGACCTAATACACGGTGCACCGGTGGGTAAAGCAGTAGCAAATCGTTGCCATGTGACAATGAATTACGAAGATGACGATGGAAATATGCGTGCTTTTACACGTTTGGTAACCGGATCTGGTTCAGAATATCGTGTTGATAGCAAGGTATTGCATAGTGTTACGGTTAACTTTGTTTTGCCGAAAACTTTTTTGATCACTTAAGTTGCTTAAAATGACCTACATCTCACTTGTAATTGTTTGCATTATTTTTGCTCCCAGTTCATTGTGATGTTTAAAGTTGTATGTTTTTACCTGCATTATTCATATTTTTCGGTAGATTTTCATAGTATAACGAAAAAAATTCTAGGTGCTTTCTCTTACTTTATTACCGAGTATATGTTATTTATTTTTTTTCTTATAACTTTCGCTCAAATAATTACAGACTGTTACACCGCAACAGTACGGTCATGCATTGGAAGAAATAAATGTATTCATGAAAGCAAAAAATTTCCTTGTGTACCAAGGACAGGTTGAGCAGGTTGCAATGAAAAATCCACGAGAATTAACGCAAATGTTCGAGGAAATTTCACGGTTCGTTTTTTTTCTCGGTATTGCATGCATAATTTTCAAACTGAAGTAACTCAAATTATGATTTTAAATTCATCTTTTTTTTTATGAGTGCATCTAATCGAAGCATGAGCGACTTCTTAAATATAGCCGTAAATAATTTTTGCCATCGTTGAAAATTTTGATGTCGCTGCATAATTTTTCAGATCATGTGAATTTCAAGCAGATTATGACCGTCTGAAGGCGGAATTGGCGAAGGCGGAAGAAGAAGCAGCATTTAATTTAAATAAGCGACGCGGAATCGCACTGGAAAAGCGTGAAGCTAAGTTGGAAAAGGATGAAGCAGAAAAATATCAGATGTTAAAAGAAGAACTGGTTTGCACTTCCGATATGCTTAATAATTAGCATAAATATCAATGTCCCGTAATGATTGCCTGATATAGGATCATTTGCTGGATAATATATTTTGTCCTCGTGTATAGCTTGACTCTGAATTACCATCAGATTGTTTATAAAAGTTAGTTCAGGATAAAAGTAGGTGTTTACCTTGCCAGGCAACAAGAAAATTAGTAGTATAGTCCTTAGAATTGACGAGTGATGTTAACAAATATTTTGGTGTAGTGAGGAAACTTTGGAAACGGTACTTTTTAATTAATAAATGCTGACTGCTGGTGCTTAACGGCTTAGAATAGTTTGATTGTTTGCATCGCCTCTGTTACACATAATCGGATTTAGATTAGTAATTGCGCTGCGTCATACGGAATGGCCTGAAAATCTTCGTGATCCCATCATTGAGCGAATATGTGGGATAATGCTGACTTCTAAAGAAGCAATTTTTGGATCATTGGTTGTTGATAGCCATTGTCAAACGTGAGAGTATTGGATTGTAGGAATCGAAACAACGTCAAGTGTATCTTCTGCAACTGTTTTATGCGGAAAAAATGGCAAATGAAACGACAAGCGATTGGAAGCGTAAAAAAGAAATAGTAGCCGAGTTGACCAGTAAAAAAGCAGAATGTGACGCAGCCGTGACAACGAAGCAACATGAGCACAAGAAAGTTTTGAAGGAAGTTCACAAACTGGAAAACAAAACATCTGGAAAAGTGTGTTATTTGAGAATATGCACATACATAATGCTATAGTCGATTTTAAATTTCTTTGTCGTGAATGACATCAACAATCTTTTAATAAGGAATCTTTCATTGGTGGCCAGGTCTGACTTACCACTTATGCTATATATTTATGGATTCAAAAAAGTTTGCCTTTGTTGTACCAATAGTGACAGTTAAGGAATACGGCAAAGGTAAAATACTCTAGAGACTTCGATAATGCTGTGAGGAATACATTTGATATTTGGCATGCTCTGTTTATTTGAAAGTCATTTACATTGACCAAGTTACTGGTAGTTTTCGACATACAGTATTGATTTGTAAAAGTGTTATATCTACTTTATATCATATCATATATAAGCATAATTTCTACATTTTTAGGAGAAAGAAGTAATGACACAAAAGCCACGATACGTTGCTGCTAAGCAGGGAGTTGTACATGTGAAAGCAAAGCTTGAAATGGCTAATAAAGCACATTCTAACGCTCAGCGAGCAGCTGAAGCCCATGAGACCAATGTAGTCACACTGAAGCAGCAACTCAAGTATGGAATTATGATGTCTCAGATCAAATTATAGTGATTCATTTTAAATAAACTCTCTCTGTAACCGATCATTTGTTTTTTTTTTTTTTAGTAGACGTTGAGAACAAAAAACAAGAATGCGAAGCGAAACTTGCTACTGAATCACAACAATTGGAAATGCAATTAAGTGATGCCCAGGTAACTAATTTTTCACATATCAGTAACGTGAATTATGTGTAAGTTAATAGTTTATTTAGCTGCAGCAGGCAAGTTATAAAAAATATTCCTTGGTAGTTGAAAAATATATATATATATATGTATATATGCTCCATTCATGTTTGATATAGTTTTATTGAAGATTAACGAATACTATGAGCTGAAGGGTGAAGCAACGAAACGGTGCGGTGTTATAGACATGGAACTTAACAAATTGTTGCAAGAACAAGAAACTGAAAAGAACAATTTGCAGTTTGAACAGAGACGTCTGGCTCATGCAAATGATCGTGTTAAAAACGTTTGTTCTAACATAAAATTTACTTTGACATAATCATTGCTAAGGCAACTTCGTATGCAAATATGTTTTGGAAAAAGCAAAGTTTTTTTCTTTTTCTCTGCACTGGATTCGCAAAATAGTTGGCAAAATAATTTCCTTTCAATGGAAATTTAATTTTGAATCCTAGTGTTTAATGCTATAATATCTTAATAACTTTGCAAATCTACAATGGAGTACGTAAATATGATCTGAGATGCACGAGAAACTGTTTTACTCAGAATCTCTAAATTAAATTGTTGAAATTGAAGGCACTTTTTTAGAAGGAACAAGAAATTGAACGTATGTCACGTCAGGGAGAACAGCTTGCAGAAAACATCGTGTCACAGAATAATCTGATTGATGATGAAAAGAAAAATTTGCAAAACCTTGAGATTCAGGTATGCCGTTCTATCTTGTTGCATTCATTGCCTTCGGTTGCATTATTTCTCAAATATGACAGGAGAATAGGAAAATTAAATTAGAATAAGGCTTGATAACATAATATAGTGAAGTGACCAACTATCACTTTGAGAATCATAAAAGTAAAGTTTTAGGGATGTAAGTGAATTGCTTCACGGAACCAAAACTGTTTGAGAGTTATATCAAAATTTTTGGATTTGCGAGTCCCATATATTTTTAGCCGAATTTTCGCTTCTTTCCTTAGATTTTTTAATGTGTATTAGTATACAGTATAGCCCGTTTTTGACTCTGCCAGAAATTTAATTCATTCTTCAGTGATTCCGTCAGTGATCTTAAGATTATATGAATCGGAAATTGTTTGCAGGTGCGTGAATCAAAAGAACGTTTGGAGAAGGTAACAACGGAATTAAATAGTGTTTCAAGACAACTGTCGGAAGCACATGGTGACACAGCAGAATCAGAGCGGAATAGGAAACGGAATGAAACCATCGAAAATTTAAAGCGTATCTTTCCGGATCGTGTCTATGGTCGATTAGTTGACCTCTGCCAACCGTCTCATCGACGGTTTCAGATTGCTATTACCAAGGTTTAATTTTTTACAACCAATTATTAAAATATAAACCCATTGGGAATATAAAAGATAGACGTTTCTAAACTGAAATCGAAGATAGTTTTTTTTTAATTTGGTTATTCTCAGATTATTGTCACAAAACAATTTGATTTTAATAGATTTCAAAGATTATTGCAGGTATTAGCTAAAAATATGATGTCCATTGTCTGTGACACAGATGAAACAGCTCGAGAAAGTATCGTTTATTTGAAAGAACAACGTCTCGCACCCGAAACTTTCCTTCCTTTATCAGTTCTTGATGTTCATCCAATCAAAGAAAAATTGCGGTACGAAAACTTTCTTTTTCAGTATGAATATAATCATTGGTAGTATAACAAGTTGATGTAAATGTTAATCAAATGTAAACTTTCTGCCGTTTACATCTTATGCGTCCTTTCTTATGTCCATCAATAAAGAATATAATAGAAGACATCATAATACATTCAGCACTTGAATTTCAGAGAACTGACTGATCCACGAGGCGTAAAGTTGGTTTTTGATGTTATACAGTGTAATAATCCAGTCGCACGGAAAGCTCTTCAATTTGCGTGTGGCAACGCGCTTGTCTGCGAAACACCTGAAGATGCAAAGTAATTATAGGGATATTAAATTTTTCGGGACCCCAATTTTCCTCTTCATTTCGATATTGGGATTGTTTAGTGAATCTTATATTCATACTTATCCGATTGAGTTGTTGTTGTGAAGAGACCAGACTACTACACATCTTATTTGCGGGTAATGTAAATTGATAGACTGATAAATTTTATTTCGTTTTGTCGGCTATCTATTTTGTTCCTCTTAAATTTTTTTAAAGAATATTTTCTTAAATTAAGACAGGTGGAAAGTTATATGTCGTAAGCAACTAAAAGCATTTCCATTACCATTTATAAATAGCATTAATTATTTGGCTTCATAGTTTTCCTTTATTACAGATATTTAGCTTATGGAAGTGCTTCGGATCGATACAAAGCAGTAGCATTAGACGGAACACTATTCGAAAGGAGCGGCATCATATCAGGTGGTGGTCAAGAATTGCGACAACGGGCCAAGAAATGGGACGAAAATGCTATCAGGTTTTTCGACAGTTTTTCTTTTAAAAATTGATCTCTAGTTGGGCAAAAATGTTTTTTTAGTTGTTTTCACTCTATTTCAAAATTCATATAATTCTTGTGTTAAATCTTTCTATTAGACGAAATCCAGGGAATGTAGCATTTTTATTTGGTTAAATGACGATGAATAGTCGTATTTTTAATCCAAGTTTTCATCCGATAAAAAAATGGAAAAAAATATTTGCAGAAAACTGAAAGAGAATCGGGTGAAATTGCAAGATGAGCTTCAGCAATTACATCGAACACGTAAGAAGGAACTTGATGTGGAAATGAAACGAAATCAGTTGATTCATCTTGAAAATCGTCTCAAAAGTACGCGAAATGAACATACGAAAATAACGAGTCAAACACTTAAAAAGCTTGAACAAGATCTCGAAACTCTCAACAGTGAACTTTCACTTATACAGGTGGGTACAATTTAAAATTGACGGCTGATTTGAGCTGACCGTTATAATGGTCAGTTGGCTCACGTTGCATTGAGTGTGAATTTAATATGAATAGCTTGTTCCTCTGTTTCCATTGATTCCTTTTTTCTCAATTTTTCTACTGGTAAATACCGATTCTATTTCCTGTCTTGAATCGGCGACTCAACTTTCATGTTTGATGAAGTGTATCGATGAAGATGATAATCTTTTCATCTTTAGTCTTATTTTAAACAAATAGCTTTATTGAAGGATAACATTAACTTAACTTATGAAAGAGAAAACGTTACGAATTTCATGTAGAATTCTTTTTCACCTTACCATATGTTTCTACCTCCTCTTTAAGTGAATAGAAATAAATATTAAATAACGTGTTATGAGCAGTTGGTGGGAACATTGCTGGAAGCATCTTTCAAGTATTTTTGGCAAGAAGTAAATCGATATTTTACTGGTTAATGATGGCAACTGATTTAAGCAAAATTTTAGCCACGAATAGATGAAATTGAACAAAGAATGGCAGAACGAGTTGTACAAATTGAAAAATTACAACACAAACGAAATGTTATTACCGATGAAGTATTCCGCGAATTTTGCCAGCGTATAAACATCAAAGATATTCGGTATGGTTAACCAGCTATATCTTTTATCCCTTCTTTGATATGTACACCTTGCATATTTTACCTTAGTATCCCAACATACGGTATGGATCCCAGTTTTCCTTGATGGTTGTTTGCCTTATTTTTCTCCCTTTTACTTTTCTTTTAGTTGTACTTGCGTTGCCTAATAAGAATTTGCATATTCTTTCGGATAAAGAATTCTAAATAAGTTTCTTATTTTTTTTCAAGTCAGTATGAACAGCGTGAAATGCGTTTTCATGAAGAAATGCAAGACCAATTGAAGAAATTTGATAATGAACTGGATCGCTTGCGGAATGAATTGGACTATTTAAAATCAGAGGATAAGCGATGTAAGCTTTTGCTTTTTTCCTTCACTATCTTATAATGGTAACATAAGTGAATGATTCTGATGAAACATTAATGCATTTATAGAAAAGTTTTTTTTGTAGTTATTCTTCAGTGAATGTTGATGCTTGTGAAAATTGTTGAATAGTGGCACCACTAAAATTATTCGGTTTTACGGTGTGATAATTTATTTACTTTGGATAAAATAGTACTGTTCTAGATTTATGAAATCACAATTCGAAACTTCGTTTTTGAACTTCGTTTATTTGGAACTTCTTTTTTGCAGAAATAGGTTTCAAGTTACTTACATTTGAGTGTTCTATTAATAATATGTCTAGGATGAGATGTAATTCTATTTCAGTAAAAGAAAAGCAAGAAGCGGAAAAAGTAAAACGCTTAGCGAAAGAAATTGAAGGTTTAAAAAAGAAAGAAGAGGAGGAACATAAGGTAATAGTTTTTGTTCGGTAGTACTTTTCTGATTACTAGCATATTTTGTATGATTTTAATATTTCTATCCTGTTGACACTGCAAAAGTCATGCCCATTTTTAGACGCTAAAGAAATTGGAGGCGGAATTGGAACAAATGAAAATGGCAATTGTTTCAAAAAAAGCATTGGTCGAAGATAGTGATGCTGAAATAAGCGTACTTAAAAAAGCTGCGCAACAAGCTGCTCGTGAAGTAATCGTTCCAAATTCACTTTGCTCTTATGACTAATAAATCATTTAGATTTGAATTGGTCCAGAAGAAGAAAGAAAAAATATTCACTGGTTAGGGCTGTTTTTTATTATTTTTGACATATAGTTATAGGTAAGATGAAATTGTGCTTTATATTTGCTTTATATTTGTTATTAATATCAATTAATATCAAATTGTGCTTTATATTTGTTATTAATATCAATTCATACTTACTAGCTAAGATACAACCGATTGCTCATAAGATTAGTTGCTGTTGCGGGTAGAAATAATTATCGGTAGAAATAGTTGATGATTTAAAATCAGGAATTAATTTATTATCATCGCCACGTAGCAGTTTTAGTAGTAATAAATATGAAATTCTTGTTCTTCCAGAAATTATTTTACTGCCTTTGGTAGTGAGTAATTTTGAGATGAGATCAACTATTAATGCATTTAAAGTTCTACTGCATTTATTCTGCAGGTAGCTGCAGCAGAGAAAACAGCTGCAACATTGGAGCAAACCATTTTGAGACGGCGTCATCAGCGTCATTCATTGTTACATCAATGTAAAATGAATGGTATCAAATTGCCACTGCTTCGAGGATCGCTTGCTGATATTGAAATCGATGATACTATCCCCTCAAGTATTTTTTTTTTCAATTTTCAGTAACTGGACTATTCAACTACCGATAGTCCAACTAGCGAATTTAAAGGGAATTGCAAAGCTGATATTGAGAGCTTTCTGAGTGTATCCGTAAATAGCCAAAATGGCGTAGAATTGTGTCCTATTGGTTGTTACCATATTGTATCATTGCTTTTGAAGCAATATATACTAAACTCTTTGTGCGACCAGAAGCTATTAGGGGTAATATTTGTCTGATCAAAATAGAAGTTTGTCGTAAAAAAATGAAAACATGCAAAGCCAATCAGCAGCTGCTTTTTATCCGGTTCTGCTGACAGATGCCGAAATGAAATTAAAATTGTAGTTTTATACTTGTGTTGTTCTAAATACGAAGCATAATCATGAAATTATTTTCTTCTTCAGGTACTACAGGTGGAAGTGTAAGTGTAAGTGATTCACAGCAACTCTCACACGAACAGATGGATCGTGAAGCACAAATACAGCTGGATTATCGAACACTCCCAATTAATCTGAGAGAGGTATGTAATCTGAAATATTTGCATCGTCATAGTTGTTTTATGGATTTTCAGGAATTCTTATATTATCATCAAAATTGTTCATTAAGTTGCTGTCTCGAAAAACTGTCATTTCCGAAGAAATAAAATAAAAATAAAAATGAAAATTGAGTTCGAAGAAATGAAAATGAAAATTGAGTCATTCAGTGAGTAGTTGCTGAAAACAAATAATAAGAAGGATAGGAGGAATATAGGGAAAATGGGGTGAAGCAAAGATGAAAGGATACACGAAATTTGGGGTTTTTTGGAGGGATTTTAAGAATACTGATTTCAGTACGATAATGATGAGGAAGTGAAGAAAGCACTTGATAAACTGAACAAAGAAGTTAGTGATTCACAAGCAAAAATTTCACGGATCAGTGCACCGAATTTGAAAGCGAAGGAAAGGTTGGTAAAACTAGTATTAATACAGCTTCCAGCATTGTTCCAAAATTCATACATAAATTTGCTGGACATTTGTCTCACTTTTATATTATTTGATGGTATAGGCAAGCACATATGCTTTCTTTACTTTCCATAATTTACCAATTTAACGTATATTGGACTTAATTCTCTCTTAAAATAGCTTTACAATAATACTTATATGTCGGGCGTATTGATTTTGGCATGAATTAACTGCTGATGTTATCTACAGTTTAGGTTTTGATTTTTGCTTGAATTGTCATTGTACCATTTTGTAGAATGGAAATAGTGAAAGAGAAGGAGGCCGAAACAACAGAAGAATGCGAATTGGCTAGAAAAAAAGCGCGGAAGATTCGTCTGTTATTTGAAAAAGTCAAAACTGATCGTTACCATCGATTTCACGAATGTTTCGAACCTGTTTCGCAGAAAATTGATGATATTTACAAGGTTAATTTATTTATTTGTAGTTTACAAAATTACAATTCTTTTGCTCTCTAGCAGTAATAAGGTGGATTACTTTCGAAATAAAGTTTCGAAATCTCAGGAATTTCACAAGTTATGATCAATCAATGTTTTGGAATCCAAATCTTTTGGATTTTATATTTTTCTCTTCTTTCTTGTTTTTTTCTTTTTTTTTTTTGCCTAATTTCCATTTTTTAGAAACTCAGTCGTAATGAGAGTGCACAAGCGTTCCTTGGCGAAGAAAATATGGAAGAACCATATCTTGAAGGTATTGCATATAACTGCGTAGCACCTGGTAAACGTTTTCGACCAATGGATAACTTGAGTGGTGGTGAAAAGACTGTTGCAGCGTTAGCGTTACTTTTCGCTATTCATGCTCGTAGTCCATCACCGTTTTTCATCTTGGATGAAGTTGATGCTGCATTGGATAATACTAATATTGGCAAGGTGTGATTTTCTGAAAGAGTGTATTAGTCGAGAAGTTGTGGATTATGTTCGGAAATGCTAGAAACATTCCATCCAATCACATTATCGACATTTCTTTAAATCGTGCTCTCATATGTCATTATGGTTTTATCGTTCGAATGATTTTACAGGAGACAGTTGTAAGCTAAGAGAAAGATTTTGCTGTAAAAATATGGTTAGAAGGTTTTATTAGCTGAGTTTTCGATACTTGCTTTGTCTGCTTCAATATAATTTTATTCCTAGCAAACTATGAATTTGTTACATAGCATATTTCAGGTCGCTAATTTCATCTGTGAGCGTGCTCGCGTTGACATGCAGTTAATTGTCATATCGTTAAAAGAGGAATTTTATAATAAAGCTGATGCCATCATCGGTATTTACCCGCATCCATCCAGTTATACCGTTTCCGGAATGCTAACACTTGATCTCACTCCGTACAAACAGCCGCAATTTGATTCGTATGCTGAATAAGTTGCCTCCTGCAATTTATAATGGGCTGCAGTTTGTGCTACCTGTGTAAATAATACGACGTTGACATACGTTCCGCGAACCTGCTGATATATCATATCCACGTTTCCAGTTTATCAGTAGTGATATATCTTCTTTTATCTATCGGAAACTTGAAAGAGGTTCGCGATGTCCTACATAACTTATGTCTCTACTTCATTCATGGCTTTGTTGTTTAAACCCTAATCTCGTGAGGAAATTTATTTTCTTAATTTCAATTTCTTGTTACTCTCAACTCCCGTCCTTTCATCATCCCATTTTCTATATGTTGTTTTTTGATATTTCAGCAAATTACATATGCGTGTTTATGCACTTCATATGCTATTAATTGCTATGTTATCTCATCGCATTATCATTCCATCAACAAAGGTATTATTAATTAATTTGTGTGGAGAGCATTTCGTGTCAAATTATTTTCCTTTTGCTAGAACAATCAAATCATGCTCATATAATTTGTTATGGAATTCATGTACATAAGGATTTGTTTCTGTTTCAATGATCGATAAAACATCGTTCTCGAATGTTTCTGCATTCAAGTGCTTTTGGAAGCATCTTAATAAATATTATCATGTTGAAATAGCGAAGGAATTTATGTATTTCGGTAGAACTACTGTCAGGAGTTGTATCCTATTTTTAAAAGGATCATTCCGTGGTATTTACTTGATGGGATTGCTTCTTTTTGGATCCTGGATCCAAATATATATATATATATATAACAAAATACCAAGGGAATGAATTAGTTGCTCTTGCGGGAATTAAAACACAAGACAGCAAGGATTTTATTATTTGAAATTTTTACTGTTTAAAGTTTAAATCCGTTATTTAAAGTTTAAACATTTATACATCGCAAAGATATCATACATCAGCATATTCAAAACGTTGCAATTCGCTGAACTATCAAAACTAACGATGATTTTCTTCCTGAAAAAATCAAAGAAAAGTCAATAAAGGTGAAATAAAGAGCAATAAACATACAGTTCCCTAGCATTTGTAAAATCAGTATCATATGCTTATATTTACGCTGACCTGAAAGATAAAGCAAAGTCTCAATAGATTTGAAATTTGATCAATTTAATTTCACTGATATCTTAGCAACTGTCACACAAAATCTAAGAGTAACAGCTGACTGACTGCTATAATGGAAAAATGAACCAACATTCTGTGGAGATTCTGTGCTTTGTAATAATTCTTCAGTATCGTGGAAATACTGCACATTAGATGACCGAATATCGCACAACTGTTGCTGTATTCGCAGCAAATACTCATCAACCTCCAAAAGTTGCATCATTCCAATATTTTCCAATGAGCGCTCAATATCCTACGAAAAATTTCAGATAATTCAGGAACAGAAAGAAATTGTTATTGTGAAGAAAAGTGACATCACTGCGAAAGGCTCTCCGAAAAATACTACAGCAAACTTATTTAAAAGATTTGTCATATATCCATGTATACAGAGGAACTGTTCGTCATGGATGGATTTACCTGTAAATGCTTTCGGATAGAGGCTCGTAAATCCTCCGGGTTTCGTTGGATTCCTTCATCTGACGGCACAGCGGTTGATAAGTCTGATTTTTCGAAACAGTCCTGAAATTTCGAGAAGCTAGCCTGGACGGTCTCTCTGACACATTTCTGATATAGCTGAGCTCAATGCATAGAGAAATGGCAAATAAATATAACTCAGAGTTCTGTAACAGAACTGAATACAATTTATTCTGGTCCTGCGCTATCTAATTTGAAAATTTTACTTCAAAAAGTGGAAAGAAACACCTCTTTGCATCCAACTTCGTTATCTTCCGCTGCTAATAAAAGATGACCATCCGAACATATCACCTTTCGCCGTTTCCTGAATGGTTGAGAAAGACTCACTTCGTCAATGATTTCGACAGCTTCGGCACTTCCATATGGACTTTCGGCCTGAAATACGATTCGCTAACACAGATTTGCATCATTTCATTGCGGAATAGAAATCATCTTCTCGTTACTTATTAACTCAACGAAAATTAACTCGACTAGGAAATGATATAGATCAAGATCGGATCGGATCGATAAAGAATAGCGCCAATAATTTGAAAAAAAAGAATTTCTACTGCTGTGATAAACCGTGATAACTTTAATTTTTCTGTTCACTCTAATATTTACTGAAATGAACAGAACTGAAATACTGACCTGTCCAAAAATTTCATATTGTACGACCTGTTCTTCATCAAGTAACTCATGCTCTCCTAAATGAATGTCGAGATCTGCCAATGTTGATGCTGTGAAATTACACCCCACAATTGAGCAACTGTAAATCTGTGAGAGTTTTTCTCGCTTTGCCTGAAACAACGATTTTGTTTCGCCTGAACAGCATACTAGTTTTTGCTTCGCAATGTTTGCCTTATATATTTCATAGCGAGGATTTTTTCCAAAACACTCTCGCGATCTTTACGATTTTTTCGTTGAAACTAATTTAACACCCTTATGCTTTGCTTCAATTCATTACTTTATGTTATGATTAGGGATTAGCATGTTCATGCTCTGAACATCCTGCTAATATTTCTTGCTGAAATTTCGAGTGATCTTTCTATATTTCAGTATCCGCTTTACAAATACCACGTTAACACTCCAGCAGCACGGTTTTTATCCAACCTAATTTATATCTGCAGTTGTTCTTTTTCTTTAAATGAAAACGTTTGATGAAGCCATAACTATGCCTTAAGTTTAAGCGCTTTTGTCACTAATTTAAATAGAGATACTAGTTAACCTATACACCTTCTCAGCACAATGAAACGTCACCACAGCATATGTAAAGACTTCTTGACAATCAGCTATTACATGATCTTGCTAATATTAGGAAATCTCAGATTACAATACTGAAGAGTTAGGTTAGTAAATTCTAAATACCGATAGAAATATATACCGTAAAATCAGCTTCAGAAGTGCAAGGCATATCAGAACTGGCAGCAGTAGTAGCAGAAGTGACTTCATTGATATTTTGGTCAGCGTCAAGCCTTAAAAGAGCCTCATACTCGCTATCGCTATCATCGGATAACGATATTTCCTAAAAAAAACAACAGCAAACTTATTCACTTTCATTCATTCGTTGGTTAGATTAACGATAAAGTGGAAAGATCCACCTTTATCGGCTTAACATACAGCAAAATCTAGATAGTTCAGATGCTTCGGAAACATATGTCCTTTATGCTTCGACATTATCAAACTGTTACCGCCTCCAGAACATAGTTAGGAAACATAAACTTAGCTTGTATTTTAAACGAGTGACTTTATTTATTAGTAATAAATTTGTTATAACGAAAGGCACGCTCTAATAATTATCAATACGCTGTGAATGAAATAATAGGACAATAAAATTAAAAATATAAAGCACTACCGGAAGTCCAAGAGATTTCTTAACTTACCGGATCCTGGGGCCAAGTTCCTGGTTCCTCAACTACATAAACGTTCGAAGAAGAGTGTTCCGATGGAGCGATTGTAATATATTGGTAGTTCGCATCTTGATTAGTGGTATAATTCAAAGTTTTCTGAAGTGCGACACCAGAAATCGATTCATTCACGGGTCTTTTAGCCAGTACTCTGTAGAAGTTTCAAATATAAAATGTAAGGAAAATATCACAACATAAACTGCTAACGAATTAGCAGGTTCCAAATAACTTTTTAGAAGTCAGTGTTAGTTTCAAAATTAAATATAAATACCGATAATATTTGAATGCTAGCTTACTTCATAAAATACATAAATACATCTCCCTCCTCACTAAAAAAAAGAAAAATAAAGCGCTCTTATTTTTACCGCCTCGATAAAACAGACTGTCGATCCGACAATGGATTATTTTCAAAGTCGCAGATATGTGGTGTTTTCGGATAATCTGGATGCACCATGAAGCGTCCGTTACGTACTACAATTCGAGCCGGAGGAGGATATTGAACAGGTGGTTCTTGTCGTTTACCTTTATCTTTAAGCTTCCGACACAGTACGCATGTGTAATACATTGTCGTATCATTTGTTGGCATCTTCAAGGCCCATTCAGAAATTTTATTCGGAAAACGCCTACTTTCGAATAAGATGATGGATTTACGCCGTTGGCAAGAAAGGGCTTCGTATACAACTGGACCGTAATCTCCTTCAGGATCGCAAACTGGATTTGGTTCTAAATCTATCTAAAAATACTACTTTCACTTGGAAAAAAAGTAATAAGAATTAGCTAAATCGATGCTAATATCAGTCAATCAAGTTTAACAAGGGACAGAGAACAACTTTAAGACTGTAAAACTTCAAAACAAAGGCAATAATCAGGTGACAGAAAACTGACAGTTATCTGCAATGGGTAATGTAAAAAAACATATAGTCTTGACATATAGTCTTACAAAAAAAAAAAAGAAAAAGAAAAAAAAACTTCTGCCAGGGAGAAAATCTCGAAACTGATTTGAATTAAAGCCCATTTTCATTAATCATAAGTACCTATTTTTTTTAATAAGTTTTTTCCTTTTTTTAAATAGTATTTCCGGTATTTATTAACCTGCGCAGTTGAGTAAACCGAAGTACTTTCTGTCGGAATTTCGACGGACAGATTCGATACACTTCCATCATTGTTTCTTTCTGTGGAAACCAAGTATTCTGCCTTAAAACCTCCAAAATGACGAAAGAATGTGATCCATAACAGGAATAAGAGACGACATCAAGAAAATTCCAATGCTAGTTAGAAGTAAACTAATTTAAATCAATGTAATTTTTAGTCAGTAATATCAAACGTTACAACACGAATGTTCGTCTAATCTTTTGAGACCGATTTTATGATCTCAGTCGTACAATACATTGCCAATAAAAAAAGAAAATGTCAGCTTAGTAAGAAAATGCTTACTCATGTAATTATACATTTAGAAGGAGTTTTTTAAAAATACTGAAATGATTGATAATTTTCTTAAATATTACTTAATTGGCTTTAAAATAGTACCCTAAATTTGAGTACTTTTCATTCTTCTTAAACCTAATTAAAACTCAAACTTAGTCGATTTTCTCTGCTGATATCATTCCATCTTTCGCTCATTTACACACGTAAATCAAGTCAGTTAGGAGATAAACTAATTTATGCCTGTTTAAGTACCTCAATTTTGGAAATTACTAGCATTCTCCTAAAATAAAGCACAAATAAAAACTCATTTTCAATTCTTCAAGTAATCACAAGTTGAGTTGTTCACCTCAAAAGTTGCTAAATCAACTGTACTGGAATCATTCACAACACGATGCTTTTCGTTAATGTGAATGTCGATCATACCAGATGCAAATGTCAAAAAATCACAATCCACCATTGGACATTCGTAAACTTTACGTGGTTTGCTGTTGTGATCAGCAGTTATTAGTTTACGGCGATTAATGTATAGTGATCGTACAGAGCTCGATTCTGACCACATACGTCCATGTATACGTCCCAATACCATATTTTCCATTTGTTCGATTTCTTCAGCACTATAAATATTTTATCACAATGAAAATTTTCGTCACATATTGCTGATTCTTAATCTGAACAAGCTACAGCAAATATCATCCCTACCTGAACTATGATATATGTAATACAATCATTCTCACAGAAAAAATCGATCATGTACCAAATAAATCCGGCCTTTTTAATTTTTCGGTATTTTTAATGCTAATTTCTAGCTCACACTTTTTTTATTTTAATATTTATCATAAAGAAAGAGACGAGCATAAGAAATGGTTCCTTACATGGGTACATCAAAAAGAGATAAAATTGTATAAAACTTTTCAAAAATATTAAAATAATTTAATGATTTCCTCAAATGCCATTCAGTTGGATCGTTCCAAATGATACCTTAAATTTGAATATTTTTCATCCTCCCTAAAACTGATTAAAACTTGATCGATTTTTTCTCGTGGTGTCATGCCATCTTCACTAATTTCTGTTCGTGCACGAATCATTGCACGTCGTGCAAGGACAACTGCACGATCAGACATTGGATTATCACCGAATCCACATATATGAGGTGTACGAGGATAGTCGGGATGAGTCAAAAAACGTCCATTACGAACCAAAATACGAGCCGGTGGACCAAATTTTACCGGTGGTATTAAACGTTTACCACGATCCTACAAACAGATATTGAGATAATACAATTAAACTTCTACAAACTAAAAAATGAACGAATTGAATTCGCTAGCAATAATATACAAACCAAATGCTACTAACAATGAGAATTATGACTTAAAGTAATTCCGAATAAATAATATCTGAAAATTACTTATCTCATATTAAACAAAATAAAAAAAAATAAAAACAAGGAACATATTATATAATGAATGTGTTATTACATACGTATTACACTGTATAATTCTATAGCTTACATGAAACTTCTAACAGACAGCTAATCTAAAGTCATTTGTATGATAGATAGAGAGACGTGTAACATTGATTAACTGATTATAAGTGATAAGTTACACTGAATGATCAAACAATTTACATTATCCTATCACTTAAATATCTGTATAATACATAAAAAGGCTTAAAGTGAAAATTAAAACCTGAAGCCTTCTGCATAATACACAGATGTAATACTTATTATCTCTTCTTGGTTCCGCTCGTAATGACCATTCGGATATTTTAGTCGGATAAAGTTCACTATTGAATAGAATAACCGAATTACGACGCATGTTCGATAATTCTTGCCAGATGACCGGTCCAAAATCTTCACCTTCCCATTCCTGACCTTCACATGATTTCCTCTTCCATCCTAATGATTGTTGCAATGATTCCAAATGATCCGTATGATGCATTTGCTGCAAATGAAAAATTTAATAACGAAAGATTGAAAGTGACCAGTCAAAAACGACAAAAAAAGAAACGAAATTTGACGTAGGATTTGACGTAATTAATATAATTCCGTTTTATCTCAATCCGGAAAAATATGGCACATATTTCCTGCGACCGGAACAGATATACTACTGAATTCAAACTCATTTCAATGAAAAAAAAAACCATCTTCATCAGAACTTCATTACTTCTTCCCACCTAACCGGTACTTAACATACCTGTAAACGGATCAAATTTGCATTTTTCACTACCATCACTTAAACCTTTCATAATGTTATATTTCGCAAATTCTTGTCAATCCCAATCGTCTCCCTATAATTGCACACTCTCTTCACTTTTCTCAAACATACTGTCATAAATTATAAAGCATATCTTTCCATCAACTCTCTCAATATCTAACACAGCCAATAATGAGTTTGTTTTTGCAAACTTTACCAATCTATCACATCCTCTTCATCAACTATGTTATTTCGTCGCTTTCTGCTGAGGTCAAAGGTTAAATAACTTAAATAGCTCAGTTCTTTTTACAGCTCAATTTCCTCGCCC